AAGCAGACCTGCCACGTTCTATGGGAGTTACTGTTTTCTGTCAGCCCTTTGCTCACTGCTGAGCCCTTCCCTATGTGAGCCCCAACTCGGCTGCCTTTCATGCCCTGCGGGGATTTTTCTTAGACCTCTTTGTTTTCTTTTGGAGTCAAAGCAAATATTTTACCGAGTTCTCCAGCACAGCCTTCTTTTAGCAGCTTCCAGGCTGCCTGCAGGCTTCTTGCTCCTCTTGGCTGCTTCTTTTGATGCTTTTTTTGCACTCATTTTTGCTTCTTTTTGAGACTGGATATTCACACATTAAATATATATGATCTCATTGTGCAGTTAAAGTTAATTGTACCGTTGTTATTGCTACAGAGAGGCTGACAAACAGCTTCTGTCTGTTTTTTAGCACCTTTGCACCACTCACTCCCAAATCCAGAAGAAACTTTCCCTGGAGGTGCCAGGATGTTTTTTTCCCTGAATCAGCCTTTTGTATCAAAAATACAATCTCTACACCCTCCCAGTATCCTGGCCCACCCCTCACAACTGCTCCGAGCATCATGCAGCAGGGGTGACCCATCCTTTGGGTCCATCGAGGAGGGACTGTTGCTCCAGCCTCCCACTCAGGTGCTGGCAAATATTTGGGTGGTAGCAACACACTGGAGTGGCTCAGCAGCTGAGGGCCAGCTGGGTCCATGTGACATCTCATCTGTAGGCTCCCTTTTCCTCTGCCACCTCCTGCCCTATGTGGGGGACAGTGCTAATGGGGACACGTGGCAGTGCAGTTGGCTGTGACGCTCGCTATCGTTCTCATGATACCTCCATGCCCCGCATCTTGCCAAGCCTTAGCTTAAAGTGTTCAAATGATGAAGGTGTTTCCAGTTCAGCACAGCCCAAATCTTACAGCATCCATCTTTCCAATCGAGGGAATCCACCTGAGTTTAGTGAAAAAAGAGATTGTTCCATACCTGCCCCATCGTAGCCACAACGTAGAGACATTTCTGGGTTGTGGTGGCCAGCAGCAGTTGTGTACCACACAGAGGGATCTGCTGTCCCCACCTGTTGGTCATATTTAAGAAAGATATTGCACGCTTTTTTCTTAAGAGCACCTGCAATTACTCTGGAAAGGGATAAACAGAATCAGACATCAGAGCAGAAGACTCAAGATCTTTCTTCTCCTCCTGGCAGGAGACCAGGAGGCAATGACCTTTCTGACATCTCCCCAGTTCATCCCCCACGTTCTTCATCTGTTCATGACAAGCTGAGATTCTTGCACTGCCTTTAATGCCCTTGATTTCCTAATTGCAATTGTTATACAACCACTGTGGAGTCTCATTCACAGCTATTCCAGCAAACCAGCCCTGTGACAGTCACCACACCTTTTTGGCATCCCACCAAATTGCTTTTTTGGCTATAATTATTTCTTCTTCCTGGACAAAAGGAGTTAACCTTAATCCTGGGTGGAAGAGCGTGGCATAATGAGAACAGCAGGAGCTTTGTGTTTGTTTAGCTGCCTCCTACAGGCCATGCAAGGCCCAGTTCACAAGCACGAAGGACTTTCCAATCCCTAGATGGAAGGAGTGATTGAGGTTCAATTAGCACCTTTGGGCTCGGAGAACCTGATTATTACTAATGACTGTTCCTTTGGTCGTGGCAACGTGCTGTACAACAACACCAAGTGCAGTGCATGTTTATTCCAGGTTGAATAAATCTGAAATGCAGAGTTGACCAAACTCTGTCCTGACGCGGGCCTGCATAAGGCATGACCTAGAAAACCTTTCCCAAGTTCTGTAGGTGCTCATGAGCTGGATGTGGATGGATGACACAGAATCATGGGATCACAGAATGGTTTGGGTTGGAAGAGACCTCAGAAGCTATCTAATTCCAGCCCCCATGCTGTGGGCAGGGTTAAGAGTGCATGCCAATACTTCAACCCAACATCACATACCAGTAGTGATCCCAACCCCACATCATTCCATCAGAAGAGAGGTGGCCAGCAGGGACAGAGAAGTTGTGGATGCCCCGTCCATCCCTGGAGGTGTTCAAGGCCAGGTCGGATGGGGCTCTGGGCAGCCTGGGCTGCTATGAAATGTGGAGGTGGGTGGCCCTACCTGCAGCAAGGGGTTGGAGCTTCATGATCCTTGATACCCCTTCCAACCAAAGCCATTCTATGGTTCTGTGATTCTATGATCATTCCCAACAGCTGCATAGCCACCATGGGCAGGGCTGTGGAGAACAAATGGCCATAGACCTCAGAAATCAGAGGGATCAAAACACACCTCACCAATTAATGGTTTAAAAAGCTTAGCGTTATTACCCGTGCTTTATTACATATTTACACAAATAATTTGCAAAGTAGGCTCTTTGAATACATGTTACAGAAGAGAAAAAGGGCACAAACTGCTTCTACTTTTTAAGTTCAGAGCCTGCAGGAGAGCAGAAGACTTCAGTGTCCAGCTGGGTCACAAAAGAGGGCAGGTGGGAGTTGGCCATGCTGAAAGCCTTCAGATGAGACACTTAAAAGGAGATGTGAGGAAATTTAGGGTCTAAAGAAAAGAAGAGAGATCCTACAGTGAAGAAAGGAAGGTGAGGGTGATATCTCGCATTCACACATCTGTTCAGAAAATACTGCATGAGGAAGGTGGGCAGATCAACAGACATGAGCCTCCTAAATATGATGTGGTCTTTGGGGCTTTGTGGGCGGCTGTCACAGGAAAGTTGAGTGTGACAGGTCTGCATCGCATGGGAGACACGGCGCTGCTCTTGACACAAGTAGGAAATTCCCACCAAGAAACATCTTTGGAAAAGAGGGGAGTTGTCCCATTTCAGGCATTTCACAGCTCACCCTGCCTTGGTGGCAGTGGAGGGGCAGCATCCAGGGGATGAGGAGCACAGCGATTCCCTAGATATGGATCCACGGATAAAGAGCGAGGCTTCCTGCCAAAGTGCCTTTCCCAGCTCCAGGATAGCAACACAACAAACAACAGCATGGCCACGTAGGGAAGGATGATGTTACACTACTGCTGTCACTGCTAGTGACACTACCAAGGCTACCAGCTCGACACAGACCATGGAATGTCACCAAAAGGGTCTGCAGCACTTTGCCAGTCCATTGTAGCAGGTACCAGTGGATCTCTTGAAGAAAGGACACAGCAAGAATGAACACTTGCCCTTCATCTTCCGACACGTGACCGTGTCCGACTCTGCAATGGAGGAAAAGAACCTGTGAGACTCTTCCATTGGACTTCCAAGCGTGAAGAAATCTGGTCCCCATGCTAGCAGCTCAGCCTGCAGGTAGCACGGGTCAGTTCAGCAAGAGGAATGTGAACCCACTGTTGAGTTTTGCTGCAATGTCTGAAAGCATCCACGCAGGCTGTGAGGTTCTCCCCCCTAGCCCTGAAAGTGCCAACTGGAGTTTGCCTACTCAGCACTCGTCTACCAGACCCAGCACCAAGAATCACATTGATGCGTCACGAGTTCATTCCTCACTTACAGAACATAAAAAACTTCCCAAACATAAAAAATGACCTTTGATTATATTTACACTTACCTGGAGCAGCCTGGGGTACTGCCAGCAGAACAAGAAGCAGGAGGAATATGCCTGTGGCTTTGGCTGACATTGCCATGTCAACCTGAAGCTGCTGAGACCAAGAGGAAGGAATGAACCTCTCTTTATAAAGCTTTGTTGAATGTGATCACCAGGGATGTAGCAATCTTACAAATAACAGGTTTGAAGGATGTGTGTGGTAACCTCCAATTCCTGTGTGGATGCATAGCACAACATGCTCCACCCCAATAAGCCTGCAAAAATGGGGCAGACATCCCATGCCACTCCATCCCATGTTACGCCACCCCATGCCAGCCCATGCCATGCTATGTGCAGAGGTGATTTCACCGCTGTCTGTATTTAGTTTCATTGGAGATGTGAGTGGCTTTTTAGCATAACAAAAGGAAATATAGGCTGTAGGCCATACACCACTTTTTTTTTTCATTCAGGGGATGCTTAAATGCAAGTCCTGCAGGATGCAAAGTTCTTCCATGGTTGGAAAAATCAGTGCCAGAGACAGAAACCCTAGTTGCACTCCTTCTAAAATCAGAGAGTAGCTTGGCTCCCCAGCCAGCAGCACATCCCTGAGCACACAGGTTTGGGTCACTGTTCACATACAAGTATCAAGAGGGAAGCGTGGGGCATGGAGAGACAGGCATTACACACTGGGTATCTATAGAGAACTCTGGAAACAGAGTTGGTGACAGACTGCTGCTTAAACCAGCAGAGTCCAGGCTTAGTTCCAAGGGTTGCCAAGGAACTTGCTGAAATTAAAAAAAAAAAAAAAAAAACAGCAGAAAAATGAGTGAAAGCCCCCAAACATGCTCATATGGGATGGGATGGGATGGAGTGGGATGGGATGGGATGGGATGGGATGGGATGGGATGGGATGGGATGGGATGGGATGGGGTGGGGTGGGATGGGATGGGATAGGATAGCATAGCATGGGACGGCAAGGGATGAGATGGGATGTCCTGACATGGGATGTCATGACATGGGATGAGATGGAATGGATGCGATAGCATAGCATGGGACGGCATGGCACAGAACGGGATGGCATGGGATGGCATGGGATGGGATAACTCCTGACGGCCCAGTGGATCCGCGAAGCTTCGGGAGCATCCTGCATGATTTTCCAAAACCACTCACAAATGTGTGGCCGCTATTTGCACTTCATTAGCAGCCATCTCTTCCGACGGAGGGGAGGAAAAATAACGCGACTAATCTGCGGCAGCACCTCACTCCGTGCCCCGGCTGCCACCTAGTGCTCAGTGCCGCGGGGACAACAGGGGACATCGGGATGCGCCAACCATCCCCACGGTCCACGCGGGGCCCCAAAAAGCCTGCGAAAAGCAAGCAGCGTGACGTAACGACCCCGCGGCGGGGCGGGAGGAGGCACATGTGGGGAGGTGCTCCCGTGTTTCCTCCTCCTCTTCCTCCTCCTCTTCCTCCTCCTCCTCCTGCTGCGCGCAGGATGCGCGGGTTTTGCCCGGCGCTCTGCTTGGCGCTGCTGGCGGCGGAACGCGGAGCGCGTGAGTGAGCGCGCAGCGTGCGCGGGAATTGCGCGGGGAGAAAGGAGAGAGCGCTGTGCCTCCGTGCTCGCATCACCCCTAGCCTGGACCCCTCCGCTTGCCCCTCCTTTACTCCCTAAACGAGGGGTTTCGGGATCCGCGCAGCCTCTAGCTATGTTCTCCTTTATAAAACAAAAAAGAGAAAACTCTGAAAATGTTGAATTTTTTTCTTAAATTTGAAGCTGGGCACGCTTTATCTGAACCCTCCTTTAGCTGTGTCCCTCGGTAGTGACAGTTGTGCTGCTGCTGACAAGCCCTGAGGAGCTGGCAGCCCAAGATAAGAGTGGGACACGGGCTGTGAACTTATGGGGAAGTAGTGGGTTGTATCTTTTAGGTGTGTGTGGCATCCCCAGCACTGCCTCCCTCTTATTTTCCAGGGCTCTGCACCATCATCCATTACCTTTCCCATGGGCATCTGGGCTGGTTTTGTGGGACCATCACCTGCCTGGTACCTGGCTATGTGGCACAACTCCTCAGCATCCTCTGGTTGAAGGCAGATGGACACCCTCCAGGCTGCAGTGTCCTGGTCCTCCATATCCTACAGTTTGGCCTCTGGAAGCGGTGAGAGATTTACCCCACAGTCCGTCCAGCCTCCCTAACCCTGCCCAAAATGGTGTGGACATCCCATCCCATGTCATCCCATCCCATGTCATCCCAACCCATGCCATTCCATGTAATCCCATCCTATGTCATCCCAACAAATGCATTGCCACCCGGTCCCATTCTGTGTCATGACATCCCATCCCATCCCATCCCAACCCATGCCTTGCCATCTTGTTCAATCCCATGCCATGCAATCTCATCCCATTCTGTCCCTTCCCATCCTATGCCATTCTATCACATGCCATCTCGTGTCATCCCATCCCATCCCATCTCATGCCATGCCATGCCATGCCATGCCATGCCATGCCATGCCATGCCATGCCATCTCATTCCATGCTATCTCATCTCATCCTATGCCATCCCATCTCATCCCATCCCAACTTCCCACTTCATCCCATCTCATCATCTCATTCCTTCCCATGCCATCTCATCCCACCCCATCCCATCCCATCCCATCCCATCCCATCCCATCCCATCCCATCCCATCCCATCCCATCTCATCCCATCCCATCCTATCCCATCCCATGCCACGCCATCCCATCCCGTCTCAAACCATCATTCCATGCCATCCCATCTGATGCCATCCCATGCCATTCCATCTCATGCCAGCTCATATCATCCTATGCCATCCCATCCCATCTCAACATCCCATCCATCTCATCATCTCATCCCATCCCATGCCATCTCATCTCACCCGATGCCATCCCATTCCATCCCAACCCATCCTGCTGATTGTTTCAGGTACTGGGATATTTTGCGGATGGAGGTGAAGACAAACAGCAGTGCAGGTACTGGGGAGATGCTGATGTGGCATGCAGATGTGTGTTTGCTGAGGCTCCTGGAAGCCCTGCTGCAGAGTCTGCCTCACCTCCTGCTGCAGGTCTATGTTGTCGTGGTCAGTGAGCCATCCAGCCTCATCCCTGGTGAGTCTTTGGGCTATGCATAGATTTTCACAGCTGGCACACTCATGCCTTGGTTGAGTTTGAACCCAACATATATTCCCTACGTTCATCCCACAATGTGCTGTCGTACTGAGCAGTTAGGGTTTGGGGCTGCTTTGTGGAAAAAGGGAATTTTCAGCTCAGTTTTCCAGAGGGAGAGGTTGGGGTGTAAACAAGGTCATCTTCACTGGTTGGTGTTAGGCTCTGGTAGGACTGGAGATGGAGTTGAGGATTTGGGTGGGGAGATCTGGATAGGGAGAAGTTAGGGTAGTATGGTCAGGTTGTGGTTGGACTTGATGATCTTTAAGGTGTTTTCCAACCTGAACGATTGTATGATTCTGTATCAGTGCAAGTGTGCAAAGGAGACTCAATCTGGCAGGAATGAGTTGAAACCCTCCATCTGGCAGGACCCTCTGTCTACTGTGCTACAGATAGCTCCTGAGAGCACAGCTAGGATCCTGCAAGGCAGTCAGGCATCCTTCGAGCACTCAGAACTTTCCCTGTCCCCACACAGCTGTCAGTGCTGGGCTGTCCCTGCTGTCCCTCTCCTGGGCTTTGGTCTCCTACAGCCGCTCCTGCTGCCTGCTGAGACCTGGCCACGTGTGGCTGCCGGCCGCAGCCCTGCTCTGCCTGCTGCTCTGGAGGATGGGGATGCTGACAAGCAGGGTCCTGGCCCTGGTGCTCTTCACCAAGCTCTATTCCTGCTGGGTTCTGGCTGTGGCAGGTAAGAGCAGCACTCGTTGTCCTTACACCCTGTCCCATTGCCAGCCGTGGGGATGCTCCCCCTGACCCCGAGTCACTTGTATCTTTTTGGTGCCATCCCCTCGCAGGCACCCACTGGGTGCTGATGTCCTTCTGGCTGGTGGCCCTGCAGAGTGACATTGTGGCCCAGCCCTGCCACTGGAGGCTGTTCAACGTCCTGCTGGGAGCCGTGTACATCTTCTGCTACATCAACGTCCAGCCTGGTCCCTCCAAGCATCGCATGGCTGTGTTCTACGTGGTGAGTACCCAGCATGTGGCTCTGGGCAGCCTGATCTGCTGGTTGGCGACCCTGCACATAGCACAGGGTTGAAACCAGATGATCATTGTGGTCCTTTTCAACCCAGGCCCTCCTATGATTCTATGAATATCTATATTGCAAGATACAACATCCATCATCAGGGGCTGGAAACCGGGTGGTTTGCATCATCAGAAGCATATTGGAGGATGTAACGATGGCTCTCTGCCCTGTAGGTAATGCTGATGGAGAACACGCTCCTGCTGCTGCTGGCCACTGAGTTCCTGCAGGCAGAGATGGGGCACAGCCTACGTGTGAGCTGGGCTGCCATGGCGGGAGCTGCCCTTGGTGAGATCTGCTGCAGTCTGCTGGGTTGCATGTGTGGAGAGCAGCAAATTCCTATCGTGTTTGCTTTATTTCTTCAGGAGTTTATTGGTTATCCAATGCTGAGTTTCACAGGCTTAAGTAAGACAGTGTTGTAGTATCAGAGCGGTGAGGTTGGGAATGGCCTCCCAGCAGCACAGGTGGGAAAGAAGTGTCTGGTGAGATCCTTAAAAGCGATGATGGTGGGGTTTTGGGATTTGTGAAGGACCCATCCCACCTCGCACACACTCACAGGCTTCTGAACTGGATGTGGAGGCATCCTTGGAGCTGATGTCCAGTGGGAATGGGAGGTTGCTATGAAGCTGGTCATGCAGGAGGAACAGAGGGTGTCTTGAAGTGAGATGTGGATGTGGCTGGAGGGCCAGCACACTGCAAAGTATTGCTGCCCAGCAGTATCTTGCCAAGGAGAAACCTGCTCTCTCCTGCACACGCTGAATGCAGCCAGGATTCATCCCTTGATGCCTTCCTGCTCTTTTTGCAGGTGTTGCAGCCATGGTGGTTTATTACAGCCTGCTCCATCCCAAATCCTCCAAGATCAGGCAGGGCATCCTGCAGAACTCCAGCTGTGCTGCTGGCAATGAGCAGGCTGCTGGGAACAGCTCCTGCGTGGGGCAGAGCTGGGGAATTTCAGGAGATGGAGAATCGTTGCCTGCAGAAAGGACCACAGTAACTCCCAAAACTGGGAACAGCTCATCGCTCTTCCAGCTCGAAGGGCCTTCAGAGGATGGATGGACAAATCACCACCATTGGCTGCTGGTGAAGCTGGCCTTGAAGACGGGAGACGTGTCGAAGATCAACGCAGCTTTCGGGGATGCTGGTGTGGGAGAGCTTTACCCTGATGGGTGGGAGATGGGAGCACCCCAACCTGGGGCTGAGCCTTCCCTCCCCACAATGGAAATCGCTCCTCAGGGCTTTGGATTGGGTTTAGTAGAGGAGAAGACGATGGTGGTGAGGAATGGAGGAGGCAGCAAACATGAAATCGGTGCTGGAAGGGACAGAGGAGGGCTGGAGGCTGCTGGCCACCCTGCCATCCCTTCACCTCACAGCTCCTCTGCGTCCCTATCTGAGGGCTCCTCGGTGTACTTCAGTGCCAACACAGGTGGCATCACCTCTCCTGGTGCAGTGATGGTGACAGCATCCTCCACAGCCCTGCCGGAAGGGGACAGCAAAGCCTGCTCTTCCCCAGGATGCCTAGCAGGAGGAGGGGGAAGAGGAGAAGATTTATCCCTTGAGACAGCGAGCATCAGCCCCATCCTGGGCTCTTGTACTCACAGGCACCTGCAGAGTGACTGCGGGGTGGCAGGTCCCCCCGAGGAGCTGCGTGTGGGGACAGAGGGAGCCCTTCTGGAGTGGCATCACCTGCAAGACACCCATCCCTGTGAAACACGGGGGGTTGTTGGTCTGAGGAGCAAGCTGAGGCCACCACGTTTCACCTCCACCCCCAAAGCTGACTCCAAATGTTCCCAGCGAGGACTGAGGGATGTGGAAGAGAGGAAGGATGTGTCTGGGATGGTGGAGTGACCCTGCGTTGTCACCGTGGGACAGAATTGGGGTGGCTGCTTTGCTCAATGAGATGCAATAGGGAAGTTCATGCTGACCTCAAAGGCTGTCCCTGTGTGCCCATGTGGTCCTTTGTCACCAGGAGGTCTCCTCCCCTCCTGGTACTGCTTCTTCTCTTTCCTCTGGAGAGCATTAGTGGATGGAAGGGCTGAAAAGCCTGGGTTTAGGTATTTATTATGTTTATTTAACCCTATGGGCAGTTGGAGCATCCTGCCCTTCTTGCATAGGTGATGATGTTGGGAAAGGTGGCCTTGAACATCATAGAATCATAGGATCATTTGAGCTGGAAAGGACCCTTAAAGGTCATCTAGTCTACCTCCAAGTGCCCAGAGAAGCTGCTGCCCAAAGCAGGAGCTGCTCATGACAAACAGGTGCCTAGACCAGAAACATGATGGGTTTTATTTCCATGTTTCCTTTGGGGTAGAGCAAGCCCTGCATTAAGGCTCAGCAGTGCTTGATCAATTCTTCTCCCTCCAAAGAGAGCTTGACCAATTGCTGGGACCGCGCCGGAGCCCAATTGCTCTACGTATGGCAGGTGACAACGTCAGGACATTGAATTACAGCCATGAGCCAGGTCTGCTGGCTTCCCCATGGCTGTGGGGATTGAGAACTGGTGGGCACTGCCTGCTAGGGAAAGCCTCCAAAAGGATGGGCATAGAACCACAGAATGGTTTGGGTTAGAAGAAACCTTTAAGATCATCCAGTTCCAACCCCCTGCTGTAGGCAGGGACACTTCCCTCTAGACCAGGTTGCTCACAGCCCCATCCAGCCTAGCCTTGAATGTCTCCAAGGTGGAAACATTCAGAACCTCACTGGGCAACCTGTTCCAGCGTCTCACCAATCTCCCAGTAAAGAATTTCTCCCTGATATCCATTCTAAATCTGCCCTCTTCCAGTGTAAAGCCCTTTCCCCTCGTCCTGTTGTGGTGTGAGGAGTGGTGAAACAAAGCTGCCAAGCAGAACTCGCTGCTCAGAAGGGCCCCAGCCAGACGTGTTCCATCAGGCTGAGCTGTGCTCTGGAAACCCGGTTGGGCTGTTTGGGACTGCAGCTGCCTTCCAACGTGACAACAGCTCCATACCTCCACCCTGGCCCCAGCACAGCTGTATTTTGCTTTGCTCTGCAGGGAGGAAGCAGTTGCAGCAGCTTTTCCTGAGCCCCCCTCGCTGCGCGCATCGCACGGAAGGCAGCCGAGCTGTCAGAGCACTCCTGAAGTTTTGATGCAGTTTGTTTTTCTTATCTTTGACAATATAGAATTGCTGCTTTAAGAAAACAAACCGGGCTTTGCCGTGTCTGTGCGTTGTGCAGGGGTGCTCAGTGCCTGCTCATCAGCACGCAGCCCCTGGGGGTCGCAGTTGGAGATGTGGGACCTGGCTCCCCTGCTGCCTAACTCCACATTATAGAATCACAGAATGGCCTGGGTTGCAAAGGCCCACAACGCTCATCCAGTTCCAACCCCCTGCTGTGTGCAGGTCACCAACCAGCAGCCCAGGCTGCCCAGAGCCACATCCAGCCTGGCCTCAAATGCCTGCAGGGATGGGGCATCCACAGCCTCCTTGGGCAACCTCTGCAGCTGCAGCTGTTCCTCTCCATCTCCTCTGGGGTGGAAGCACGAGGCGTCCCATTCACCTGGTGCACACCCACAGCTTTCTCAAGAAAATAGAAGAAATCGACCTGAGGTTTCTCCCCACAGCTCCCCGCTCCTCAGCCACAAGAGGGAGGTGGTGCTCAATGCTGCCGGCGTGCATTTCTATTTCCAGAGGCCGTGCGCCCATCCCACACCCAGACTGTGGGACGGGGTTGGGACTTGGGGGACTGCTAACAGCTGCAGCAGCCCCAGTGGGAACGGGTGAGGGCGAAATGGGAGGCTTTGGGATGCTGGAGGTGGCTGATGCTGTGCACAGTGAGTGCCTGGATGGATAGCAATAGGACAAGGGGCAATGGTCATAAAGTGAGACAGGGGAGGTTTAGGTTGGATATGAGGAGGAAGTTTTTCCCCCAGAGGGTGGTGAGGCACTGGAACAGGTTGCCCAAGGAGGCTGTGGATGCCCCATCCCTGCAGGCATTCAAGGCCAGGCTGGATGTGGCTCTGGGTGGCTCTGGGCAGCCTGGTCTGCTGGTTGGTGACCTGCACACAGCAGGGGGTTGGAACTGGATGAGCATTGTGGGCCTTTGCAACCCAGGCCATTCTGATTCTGATTCCATCCCACCACACTCAACCTAAGGTTCTCCTCCCACCTGACCTGGAATAAAGGATTTCTGCTCATTTGCTTCTGATGAGCCCTTTTTGTTTGCATTCTTGTCAAGAAAACCCCCTGCAGCACTGCAGAGAAGCAGAAGGGACCTCAGCTGTGCGAACCTATGGCAGGAACGGGGAGTGGAAGCCCAGGGCCGGGCTGGACAATGAAGGGAGTGACTGGAGCTGCCCAGAACGGGCTGTGCTGCTCACCACTGATCTGGAAGAAGGAGCAGGAACGAAACCTCCATCCCTCCTGGCGCTGACAATGCCCAGGCAGACATGCAGCTGCAGGGCTGGCACCATCCCCCATACGTTTGCTGGTTTGGATGTACCCCATCCCTGCAGGCATTCAAGGCCAGGCTGGATGTGGCTCTGGGCAGCCTGGGCTGCTGGTTGGTGACCTGCACACAGCAGGGGGTTGACACTAGATGAGCATTGTGGGCCTTTGCAACCCAGGCCATTCTGTGATTCTAGGATTCAATGTGGGTCTGTGCTGCTCGTGGCCGTGTTTGTGCTGGGAGAACATCGAGTGAACGGGAAGGCGATGCCCTCCGGCGATGCCCTTCTCCTAGCCCGGCATTATAGTCCAGGAGCTGTTGCCTGCTTGTTTTTTGTCGTTTTCTTTCCCGAGCTGCGACTTCATGCCTCAGTTCCTCCTTTTCGCGGTGCAGCCCCGCGCTCCCCCCGCACCCAGCCGTGGATTCGGGGCGGCTCGGCGGCCACGCGTGGGGCCGGGAACCGCGGAGGTGGGGCCGGGGAGGACCAGGGAGGACCGGGGAGGGGCGGCGCCTGCGCGGGGCGGCCGCGGAGCTCCGCGAAGTTGTGCGGGGCCCGGGGAAGTTTGCGGCGGGGCGGGTGGCTCCCGAGTCGCTCCCGGTCCCGCAGCGCTGCCGGGCGCGGCCATGGCTTTCCGGCGACGGGCCAAGAGCCACCCGCTCTTCAGCCAGGAGTTCCTCATCCACAACCACGCCGACATCGGTTTCTGCCTGGTGCTCAGCGTGCTCATCGCTCTCATGTTCGAGGTGAGGACCACCACCCCTCCCCCCCGCCCCCAACTCTCCCCTCTATCCCCCCTTTCCCATCCCCACGCGTGTCCGATCCGTTCGTGCCCTGCCCCATTGGCTCCGCCCATCGAGGACAGCCCCGCCACCACCCGCCTGCCCGCGACCCCCCGTCCTTCCCACCCCAATGTGATCCCCTCGGTGCGGGTCCCCTCTGTGCACCCCAATGTGGACGGGGTGTCCCAATGGCCCCCCTAGAGCAGCTCTGGGGGGGCTGTGGGGCACAACCCCTCCATCCTGGGGCACCAGAGCCCTTCCATCCTTTGGGATGGGGCTCCTCCATTCTTGGGGCACCGAAGCCCTTCCCTCCTTTTGGATGGGGTCCTTCCATTCTTGGGGCACTGAAGCCCTTCCATCCTTTGGGATGGGGTTCCCCCATTTCTGGGGCACCGAAGCCCTTCCATCCTTTGGGATGGGCTCCTTCCATTCCTGGGGTGCCCTCCATTCTTGGGGTACCAATGCCTTTTGTCCTTGGGTTGCCAATCTCTTCCACCCGTGGAGTGCCAAGTGCCATCCCATTCAGTCACCATCACTCTCAACACTGGGGTCCCCCCTCGCTGAAATCCCCTTAAAGACCCCAACTTATGTGCTGGCTTTAGGGGTGAGCCATCCCTTTGCCTCCCCCAACCCTTCTGGTCGCAAAAGAGCCTCAAGCTGGGGGAGTGCTTGCAAACCTTGGTTCTCCTGCACGTGCCCCCAGATCTGCCACCGCTGCTGGGGATGGGATGGGGACGCATCGCTCACCCACCCCACATGGAGGGGAATGCATTGGGAAGGAAAGGAAAAACCAACCCCCTCACTGGAAGTGTATTTTTGGGGCTTTTTCTCAACACCATTCCCCTTTCCAGATGTTTTCTCCATGGGATGAGCAGCGGAGGTCCCACTATGACAAATCTTACCCCCTCCCTGTCTCTTCCATGGGGAAACCCAACTGTAGTTGAGCAGTGCTGGGAGTGCTCTCCCTGCTCCGGCGCCGTCCCTCTCAGCTGCAGTTCTTTTTTTTTTTTTTTCTTTCTTTCTTTTTTAATTGGAATTTATTTCTTTATTTATACATTTCCTCTTTCGGGGGAGGAGACGGGAGGAGGGACGGAGGCCTCAAGGAGCGCCTTCTCCCTCTCCAGTTCTCCCCGACGTGGAGGCACATCGGGTGACTGCCGGCCTCTCTTCTCTGCAGCCTAACAGGACCCCCCCCGCGCCCCCCCCCCCCCCCCACATACACACCATCCCCGCCCAAACCCTCCCCTTCTGCCCAGTGCCACGTTTCAAAGCAAATCCAGCCGGGAAAGGGGTGGCCGGGGGGCCTGGCGGAGGAGGAAAGGCTCCTTGTGCAGCAAATCGCAGCCGGAGGAAATCCATTTCCTTCGTACCCTCCCGATGGCAGCACACCCCCCACCCTCTTCTTTTTTTTTTTCTTTTTTTTTTTTTTGGCTTTTTTTTTGTTTTTTTTGGCTTTTAATCCCTTCCTTTTCCACACCGATGGAGCGATGCAGCTCACGGAACCCATGGGTTTGCATCCGCGTGGGTTTAAGCCACAGAGTGCAGCTCTCCGTCCCGAAACTGCATGCAAACAATGCGAGTTTCGTTGCCGTGCTTTAAAAGAAAAGCAACCTGGTGAGGTTGCATCTCTGGTGGTTCTCATCTGCAGCTGCATTTTTCGGGCACGGCACTCGTAGGATGTGGGGTTTCAGTGGCCGCGGTGCTGTGAAGGAGCTGAGCCCCCCATGGGGCTGGGGTGGAGCTGGGGGGTTGAGGAAAGGTCTCTTCTTCTTTTATTTCCATAGCTTTTAATTCATTCTCCTGCTTGTGCTGATTGCTGGCAGGGTCCTCCTGCAGGGTGGCTGTGTCGGGCAGCATCCACCGTAATCCTCCCCATAGCAGAGGGCTTGGGATGCCTCTTTTGATCCTCACTTCTTTATCTTGCTCATCTCCAGCCTTCCCCCTGGGGTCCTGTGCCCATTGCTGCCATCCCACTGTGCTTTTTTTGGTGTCAG